GAAGGCGGAATAAGTAAATAAAAATTAATATTAGGAAAATGAAATAATTTATTTACCTGGACACTGTTGGATATCATCTATCCGAAACGAAAAATTATCCCTTTAGTTTAAATCGTTAGCCAAAGCAGAATTCTCTTCCGTCGGCTTTCTCCTCCCTTTCTTTTTTTTTTTTTATCTTTGTCGGTCGTTCGTTTTTTTTTTTTTGTTTTTTTTTATCAGCCAATAAATACAAACACGTTTTCGACTAAAACAGCAGCTCCGTAGAGGATGTAAAGTCTTTCGTTTTCGACTCTCAACTTGTAAGTGACAAACACAGGCCAGACCTCGATTTTTCCCTCTCGTTGCTTTCTTGTCGTATATAGAAAAAATAAAATAAAATAAAAACAACGTTTTTCTATAATACAAACATGTATTTTGAGATAAGCACCTCTCCGGAGCAAAGTATTGTAGAGTACTACCTGCTTCTATATAGTCAACAATAATCAAGGTTTATTTACAGTTATTATCTCTCTCTCTCTCTCTCTCTCTCGTTCGGTTGTTCTTCCTATCTATCTCATTCAGTCCATATCTATCTATCTATCTATGTTCATATCTATCTGTCTGTTCATATCTATCGCATTCAGCCCATCCCTCTCTTGCTATCTCTCTCTCTGTCTCTCTCTCTCTCTCTCTCTCTCTCTATATATATATATATATATATATTTATATATATATTTATATCAGTCAGTTCATTATCTATCTATCTATCTATATATATATCTATCTGATGGAAGTTGTGGAGAGCGATAATCGCCAACCTCCTGAAGGAAAACGGCGCATCGTATTACGAAGGTCTCTCGCATTTAGCCCATATCTATCTATCTATCTATCTATCTATCTATCTATCTATCTATCTATCTATCTCAGTCAGTTCATATCTATCTCATTCAGCCCATCTCTCTCTCTCTGTCTCTCTCTTTCTGTCTGTCTGTCTGTCTCTCTCTCTCTCTCTATATATATATATATATATGTTTGTTCATTATCTATCTCATGGAAGTTGTGGAGAGCCATAATCGCCAACCTCCTGAAGGAAAACGGCGCATCGTATTACGAAGGTCTCTCTCATTCAGCCCATATCTATCTATCTATCTATCTATCTATCTATCTATCTATCTATCTACGAGATTCCGTTAATATCTATCTATCTATCTATCTATCTATCTATCTATCTATCTATCTATCTATCTTCTTTCGTGGCTTAACTGACACTTGTTTTGTTTTCGTTTTTTTTTTCACCGTTATCTTTTCGTTTTTTCTTCATGCAATTACCCTAACAACTCGGGTTTATTGATGCAACGCACAGATTTTTCATTTTCCCGGTTATTCTTTAATGTTTTTATTTTTATTTATTTATTTATTTATTTTTTCTTCCCTCAGAAAAGCGACCCGTTGAATAGAATGAAGATTTTCTTTTATTCATCATGATTTCTCCACCGAATCCTTAGACGCCTCGGCGTAGGGTAACATTTTTAGCGAGACATTTCGACCGAGTCAAGAGATCGATCCTCACTAGGTGACGCGTACTTTTGAATTTGTCTCACTTAGACAATTCCACATTTTCTCTCCGTGTTTCAGTTGTAATAAAATACGACCAACTCAGACAGCATTTTCCCCAAAACGGCTATTCTGTGGAACAAACTCCCGCGTGGATGCTTACCTGAATGCAATAATCTTAACCTTTTCAGGTCAAGATTTAATCATTATCAATCATCCTCATTCTTATAACCGTCGCTTTCTAATACCTCATCTTACATTTATGATAAACGCTTCGTTCAGTAATCATCTACCTTGATTGGCTCTCGGGTCTTGTGCTCGATGCACTTTACTATCAATAAATGAATAAATCGACTATTAAGACATCTAGAGAAGTGCCGAAAGAGTTGTTCAATTTTGAGAGTCAGTTTCATATACGCGCCATATTCCGTTCAAATGGGGGAAGAAGATAAGTAGCTTCAAAGAAAATGTGTCCAGGGTTTATGTCTGTTGAAATGTGTGTCCAGATTTTATGTCTGTTGAAATGTGGGTCCAGATTTTATGTCTGTTGAAATGTGGGTCCAGATTTTATGTCGGTTGAAGTGTGTGTCCAAGCTTTATGTCTGTTGAAATGTATGTCCAGGCTTTATGTCGGTTGAAATGTATAGTCAGACTTTATGTCTGTTGAAATGTGTGTCCAGGCTTTATGTCGGTTGAAATGTGTGTCCAGGGTTTATGCCTGTTGAAATGTGTCTCCAGGTTTTATGTCGGTTGAAATGTGTGTCCAGACTTTATGTCTGCTGAAGTGTGTATCCAGGCTTTATGCTTGTTAAAATGTGTGTCCAGGTCTTACGTAATAACATTGCCTCTGGGAAAGGTAGGAATCAATTTCTTCTCCTTCCAGATAAGATAGATAGACATGAAGAGACTGTTGTAGATAGATAGATAGATAGATAGATAGATAGACAGACAGACAGATAGACAGACAGACAGATAGATAGACAGTTAGACAAACAGAGAGACAGAGAGACAGACAGATAGACAGACGGACAGACAGACAGACAGATAGATAGATAGATAGATAGATAGATAGATAGATAGATAGATAGATAATCTTTTGCCTTCAGTGTCAACCAGTCTAGAGGAAATACTACTCTGAATTCAAAACCAGGGAGAATGTACTAGGGAAAATGTTTCACTATATTTTCCAAGAAGGCATGGCAATTCACAGATAATTATCGAAAAGGAAGCTGTGGAGATTCATGATCGGCTATGTTCTGAAAAGAGAAAAACTACTTTGAAGTGAAAACTGTGGCAAAGACAATAAGAAACCACTTCACCATCTTTGCGAAGAAGGCATGAATATTCTGAAATAATAAAGAAAAGGAAGTTGTGGAGAGCCATGATCGGCTATATACTGAAATGGAAAAATCTACTTTGAATTGAAAAGTGTGGCAAAGACGACGAGAAACCACTTCATTATCTTTCTCAAGAAGTCAAGGAAATTCAGAGACAATAAAGAAAAGAAGGCCGTGGAGAGCAATGATCGTTTACATCACGAAGAAAGGTTGCATTAAAAATGTACTAGGTAAATGAATAAATCTAGTTTTCCCTTTGTTCCCTAATTTTTGACAGGTTATCTTGTAGAAAAATTCTCGCCATTGAAACCCCTTAATGTTGGATAACGAGCAGACAGCACCCCCATAAACAAGGTAGTTGCTACCATCATTATTAAACATGGCAACTTCCAGTCACATGAGATTGAGAGTCGGGGACACTTTCACTACACAGATGGAATCTGTAAACAACAAAGTTATAGAGTTTTCTTTTAGCAATCTGAAGTCTGGTACAAGACCAGACGAAAGAGAAGAAGGATTAAATTGTGGAGTATAAAGAGTGTGTTGCGCCAGTCTTCCAAGACAAAACTACTTCCTTTTATTTTTACTAAGCTGAGGCCAGATAGGTTGTTACATGGGGTAAAAAAAGATTGTACGACGCCATGTTTTCATCTAACGAAGGCCTATCTACATTTACTAATTTTCTTTTTATATGTAACGTGTCTCTTTCTGACGTTGGCGATCATGGCTCTCCACAATTTCCTGACCTTTAGAGCTCATAATAAATTATGTCTTTTTGTTATCTATCGCTACGTAGGTTGTGTTTTTTCCTTCTGTCCATCTTGCCTTCATTCTGTCCTGTGTGTATCGAATTTTCCAAGTCCTCTTTCCTCATGATGTGTCATAGAAAATTCAACTGTCTCTTCCAGATGGTAAGCATAAGAGTCTTTTTTGTTTCTATATGAATAAAAAAAAACAATGATATATTATTGAGTAGATGATGATTAAGAAGACTGTGTTGCGGCAATCCCCATGTTGGGAAGGCCTACCTGCTTGCTTTTAAAGGAAAAGAAAATCAGTCCTTAGTGTATTTTGAATACTGCATGAATTATCCATAATTATTGCATTTATTTCAATAGGGTTTGCGTGTGTGCATGTAGGGTGTGTATTAATAATCAAAACAAAAGTGGGGTTGATGACAAAGCTATAAACGACGCGTTTCGCCAAAAGCATCTGCTTCCTCGGCTTCTTTACATTAGAATGAAAAACAAAACTGACTTGGGAACTCCGAGAATAAGAGGGGAAGCATAAAAGCATAAATCAAATTACCTTATCAAATCCGATGGTCAGACATCAGAAAATATCTGTTTTGCCTGTTCATTTGTTATATATATATATATATATATATATATATATATATATATATATATATATATATATAAAGTCAACATAGAGGCGACAGTCTGTTTCATGCTATATGCAATCGTGGCCTGACGATTGCATCTATATGAAACAATCGTCGCCTCAAGTGATTGCATCTCTATGTTCACTTTTATATTTACACGCTCTATCTCTGATATTGAGCACATTATCCCATAAATATAGCACACCTTAAGAGTATATTTCTTCATATATATATATATATATATATATATATATATATATATATATATATATATATGTCTCTGTCTCTGTCTCTTTCTCTCTCTCTCTCTCTCTATATATATATATATATATATATATATATATATATATATAAAGGTAATAAATCCTTTGGTATATAATATACCGGAGTTGAATAAGACTGATGAATTTTATTTTTTTCGTCGGTTGAAATAAGCTTATTCCTCATATGAGGGGATTTGGGATTTTATTTTGTATTAATATATATATATATATATATATATATATATATATATATATATATATATATAGAACAATAAAAATATTAAAAAATTAAAATCTTCAGACACACTGGGTTGTAGATTAATATTCTTTTGTTTTTTTAATTATTTTTCATTTAGATTCCTCGACTAGTTTTCGGCGAAAATGGCCATCATCAGGAGAAGAAATATTTCTGCTTGCTGGTAGCAGTAAACTACAGAAATGAATGTCTTGATGGAGAAAATGAACTTTTTTTAATATATATATATATATATATATATATATATATATATATATATATATATGTATGTGTGTGTGTGTATATACTTTTATGCTATATTTATGGGTTAAAGTGCACAACACCAAGGATATATGTATAAGATTTTGTGTAGCAAGAGCGTGAAACCCAGGTTCACAATCTCATCAATACAACTATATATATATATATATATATATATATATATATATATATATATATATATAAAGATGGAGACATAGATAGATACATAGAGATAGATATTAATGGAATCAGATAGATAGATAGATAGATAGATATTAACGGAATGAGATAGATGAATAGATAGATAGATAGATAGATAGATAGATAGATAGATAACACAGTGCAAAGAAAAGTTCTGGGGGTTATTGTAATAAAAGAGAAGCATCTAACATTAAATAAGGTGTCTTTCTCTACTGGAGAGTGTGTATTGAAGCGTGTTTACGACATACACACGCACCCTGGAACAAACAGACAAGCAAACAGACACATATATATACACACGCGCACACAGACACACCCACGCATAAAAATTCCTGTTTGATCGTTTAAATGACGTCACCTTGCGTGACTTAAAATTGGTTCCATGAAACGTGAGAACATCGAAATTAAATCAGTTGCATAAATAGACACAGAACAATCCTTGAAAACGAATGTAGCAGGTTTCGAAAGTACTCGGAGAAAAATAATCTTAAATAAAAATAATTATGAAATTTGCAGTTAATAGAAATCAACAAATTCGGAAATTTGAAAAATTTAATAAATAATTTGATAGACAGAACGTATCGATATTATTTAATTAAACATGTTTGAAAGAATTATTGTTGCAAACATATATATATATATATATATATATATATATATATATATAGAGAGAGAGAGAGAGAGAGAGAGGCGGGGGGTAATACTCCATTGGTAAATAACCCAAGTGAATCCTAATAATATGAAATATGAAAACTCCATATCTCTGAGTTGACAAGGCCTACAAGGAAAACTTTGTGGGTTGAAACAGCTATTCGAATGAGGTAACTGGATTTTTATTTCATGTAATATATATATATATATATATATATATATATATATATATATATATATATATATATCAAATATGAGAAAGAATAGGTGAAGCACAAATCCAAAGTTCGTAGCATTTATTTTTTAAAAAAGTGGTCAATATAAAGTAGAGCAAAATATTATTATAATTTTATTATATATATTGTTATATTTCATATATATATATATATATATATATATATATATATATATATATATATAAATATAATAATAATAATAATAATGATGGACTCTCCCGTCGCTTTCGACGTATGAGGATCTGCCAGCTTATTGATTCAGTTATGAAAGATTATGCGATAATCTTAAGTGGCATTTAAGACCCGCTAGTGATTTACAAAGGAGGCCACATGGAGCAAGTGTGAGGGTTGTTAGATGAGATCACTGTTAGATTGGCTGACCTTTTAGATCTTGCTCTCGCTTCTTGAAGATGATTCAGACAAGCAGATTGAAAATTGCTGAGTCCACTAAAACACGTTGATCTCCATTCTACCCGCCCCAAGGCTAAGCGCTCAAGGGTGTTATGTGGTATATTAACTGCTGACAAGTTGCTCTTTAGCTTGTCTTTATATCTTAGCCATGGGCTTCCTACATTCCTGTAGCCCTGATCTAACTGGCTGTACATTAGCATCTTGGGTATCCTGTCATCATAAATTCTCAAGACATGACCAGTCCAGCGTAACTGAGACTGTATGATAAAAGTCTCGATTATATATATATATATATATATATATATATATATATATATATATATATATAATAAAATATTTTATACAATATACAATAAAAACATTTTATATCGTATACATGAAAACTTTCGGGTTTCAAAACTTGAAAATTTTGGTGTAGTGATATAAAATGTTTTATTTAATATAATATAAAATATTATATATTTATATATATATATAATATATATATATATATATATATATATATATCTTTAAAGACGACAGACAAAGGTACTGTGATTAAGCTTTTTATTTAATTTTTCTTGTGTTCGAACAAATACTTTCTTTTTTGAGACACATATAGATGTATAGAAACTGTCCAAATGTTCTATACCGCCGACCGCTTTCGGCTATACTTTTAGCCATTATCAAGGATGATTTTATTTTTGCTTTTTAACTGGGTGTATGTATGTTTCTAGAGTTATAGGGTTGTTTTATTTTCTGAACACAGGCAGCACATTGTGGCCGTGTTCGTAGTTAATATTATTGAGAGTTGGCTTTTTCTTTTTTATTATTAAGGCTTCCATTATTTTTAATCTTTTTTTTTTTTACATGTAGATGAGGTTATTATGTTTGTATTTTCTACTAGTATGTTTCAGATGGAGTCTGGCAAGTGTGTGCGCGTTTCAATGGGTGCTAATAGAGATGTGGGCGCATAGGTGCAACGTAAGGCGTCTCGATAGGTATGTAGTATGCGCTAAAATGCCTTCAATATCCCCTCAGACGAAATGATACTCATCTTTTGCTACTCGATTGCTATTTCAATGTCCTCAAGAACACATGGCACAGTGGATAAAGGCGTTGGTTAGATCCAGTGACAAGACCCAAAGAGTGTGAGTTCAATATCTGATTAAGCCAATGAAGAACTTGAAGAGGGGAATTAACAGGAGATCACTGTTTACTGACATCCATTAAACATGGCACGTGAAACTAGAACAGTCTACCCCAGTGAGCAAAATAAAGGGTTCAGTTCGACATTCCAACCACCTGAAGAAGGCCGGAGCGTACAACGGCCGAAACAATGTAATAAATATGACGACAAAGATGAAGACAATAGTCCGAATAATGTAAATAGTGTACATAATACCTCATCTCAGAAATATAGACAGATACTGCAAGTAATCATAATACCTCATTTTAGAGATATAGACAGATATGGAAGGCATGGCACGTGGAACTAGAACAATCTACCCGGGTGGATAAAATAAAGGGTCCGTTTCGGAATTCCAATCACCTGAAGAAGGCCGGAGAGTACAACGGCCGAAACGTTGTGAATATGGCAATGAAGATGAGGATAACAGTCCGAATAATGTAAATAATGCAAGTAATCATAATACCTCATTTCAGAGATATAGACAGATATTTATTGCTATCACAACGTTTTGGCCGTTGTGGTCTCCAACCTTCATCAGGTGATTGTCGAACCAGGTAAAAGTCAGAGAATTTTAAACCGAACCCTTTATTTAATCTACGGATGTAAGTTTGTTTCACCTTCCTCTGTCCATGGGATATATCGTCTAGTATCTTATTTAGTACCGTTTCTTTATTTTTGTTTACTTGTTCCGGTCATGCAATTCCCAGTATTCTACTGTAGAACCCTCTGTCTGTAGCCTTTAGTCACTTCTTTATCTGTGGTAATATTTCCCAGCATTCACTGCCATAGAAGAGGACTGATATCGCATAGCAATTCAGCACATTTTGTTTCTAACGTACTTTCCTTGTTTCTTAGGCTTACGGTGATATGACGTTGAAACACCGGTCCTCGTACGATCACCAAAGTTAAGCAACGTCGAGCCTGGTCAGTATCTAGTTGGGTGACCTCTTGGGAATAATAAGTGCTGTAGGGTTGGATGTGTGGGTGGTGTAATGGATTACAAACATAGGACTTTGAAACACCGGTCCTAGTACGATCACCAAAGTTAAGCAACGTCGAGCCTGGTTAGTACATAGGAATACCAAGTGCTACAATCTTGGACGTGCGGATGGTGTTCTGGATAACAGCTCGTCGTTGCAAATCGGAGAGCCGAGATCCAGTTCCAGTCGGGTTCATTATATTCACGTACGTGTAAATACCCCTGGGAAAGATACGAATTCATCTCTTCTTCCCCAATTATGGGTTAATTAGTAGAATTTTTATTTGTAAAAAGCATCATTAGCTCAAAATCTTCTTAAAATCTAAAAATGTTTTCTGGCCTTAAATAATTTGCAAAATGTTGATAAACCGTAAAAAATCAATCAATCAATCCTATTTCTTAGTACTTTTACGCTAATCCAATACGCATTTAAATTTCGGTTTATTTTCAATTTTCGGATAAAATATGTTCCAGATATTTAAACTTCTGTATTCGTAATTAGCATCTAGGACCTTTTTCCATATTGCTTTACAGTTAGTGTTACCCGACACAGCAATATCTTACAATACCAACACATTAGCCTAAGTACTAGAGTCATGTTCTTAACTAGCCTTGCTATGTCTAAATTCTCTTATAGATGTCATGTATTGTGACCAACTCGTTCAAAAATGTCTAAACTATCAGCTATGTAAAAATGTTTTCCCCCTTCAATGAATAAAAATGGCTTCAAGCCAATATCGCACCCTCTAGATTTTAATGACGATTATCCTCTATCATATCTCAGAAACTGGCGCTACAGAATCACGATTAAAAAGACTTTACCAAATAACAGAAACTACATGCCTTGAAGACTTTCAAAAGCAGCAACAATTAAAATGAATAGCACAAAAAACACGAAGAGAAAAGAAATAGATAATTAAGATGCTAACTTTCCGCACAGCGTTAAACAAAATGTTAGGAAGGAAACCGCTATCAATAGGAGAAAAGGGATAATATAAGTTTCTATAAATTTGAACCGATAATAACGCTAATTGGTTAGTAAGTGTCGAATATTTCCTTATAAGGAAACGGCTATTATTATACTTGACATTTGTCTACATATCTAAGCTTACCTGATTTATTTCTAATATATTTTTTGTTATGATACACCCCAAAGCCATGACGAGACAAATGAAGAACAAACAGAATGCTAGTCTTTGCCCACTCAGGTACAACAGGCGGAAGGATACACACTCGCAACGAACACCGCCTGATATTACAGATAATTTCTACTTGACGTCGGGAACGTATTTACACCCTATGAATTAATATTTCATTTAAAATTCTCAGAAGAAATATAGAAAATCCACAAATTATTATGAGAGATTTTTTATATATAATCGCCAGAATCGGCTTTTAAGCACAGGCACTGTCCAATAAATTGTCAACATTTATCGCCAGAATCCTCCATTACTTACATGCTCTGTCCATTGTATTCACAACATTTGTCGCCTGAATCACCCATTACCCATGAACTTGCCCATAGAATTCAGAGCATTCCTTGCCAGAATCCCCCATTACTTGCTCTATCAATTATATTCTCCTCATTCATCGCCAGAATCGTCCATGACTGAAATACTCGGTCCACTGTATTCTCAGTATTCGTCATCAGAATCACCCATTACTCACATGTCCTATCGTTTTTATTCTCAGCATTCGTCGCCAGAATGGCCCATTACTCACATGCACTATCCTTTGTATTCTCGGCATTCTTGTCCAGAATCAGCCATTACGCAACTTCTCCATCCTTTGTATTTTCAGCCAGAATCACCCAATATTCATATGATATATCATTTCTATTTTTTAGCATTCGTTGTTACAAACACCCATTACTCACACGCTCTATCCGTTTCATCTCAAGCATTCATCGCCAGAATCACTAACTACTCATATACTCTATCTTTTGTATTCTCAGCATTCGTCGCCGGAATCACCCATTACGCATATGCTCCCTCAATTGTATTCTAAGCTTTTGCCTACAGAATCAACAATTACTAAAATGCTGTAAACTTGTGTATTCTTAGATTTCGTCGTCAGCATCATCCAATACTCACATGAATTATCGTTTGTATTCTCAGCATTCATCGCCAGAATCACCCATTACTCACATGCACTATCCTTTGTATTCTCACAATTCATCACAGGAATCACCCATTAGCCACATGTTCCAACCTTTGTATTCTCATCATTCATCGCATGAATCAGCCATTACACGCCTTCTCTATCCATTGTATTCTCAGCATTCATCGCTAGAATCACCCATTACTCTCATGTTTTATCCTTTGTATTCATCGCTAGAATCAGCCATTACTCACATGCAATATCCATTATTTTCCTTCATCCATCGCCATAATCAACCATTACTCACATGCTCTAGCCATTTTATACTCAGCATTCATCACAAGAATCACCCATTACTCACATGTTCTATCCTTTGTATTCTCAGCATTCATCGCGAGAATCACCCATTACACACATTCTCTATCCATTGTATTCACTGCATTCATCGCCAGAATCATCCACTGCTCACATACTTTCTCATTTGTATTCACAACGTTCATCGCGAGAATCACCCAAGACTCATATGCTCTATTCATTTTATCCTCAGCAAGCATGGCCAGAATCACCCATTACTCACATGCTCTATAATTTGTAACAACAATATTAATCGCGAGAATCAACCATTACACACGTTCTCTATCCATTGTATTCTCTGAATTTGTCGCCGGAATCAGTCATTACTCACAGACTCTATCCTTTGTGTTCTCATCATTCATAGCCAGAATCACCCATTACTCACATGCACTGCACTATCCTTTGTATTCTCACCATTCATCTCAAAAATCACACATTAGTCACATGTTCCATCCTTTTATTCTCAGAATTTATCGCCAGCATCACCCATTACTCACAGGCTATATCCATTGTATTATCATCATTCCTTGCCAGAATCACCCATTACACACCTTCTCTATTTATTGTATTCTCTGCATTCATCACCAGATTCACCCATTTAGTCACATGCTCTATCCTTTGTATTCTCATCATTCATTGCAAGAATCACCCATTATACACCTCTATCCATTGTATTCACTGCATTCTTCGCCAGAATCATCCATTATTCACATACTTTCTCATTTGTATTCCCAACATTCATCGTGGGAATCACCCAAGTCTCATATGCTCTATTCATTTTATCCTCAAAATGCATCGCCAGAATCACCCATGACTCACATGTTCTATCCGTTTTATACTCAGCATTCCTCGCCAGAATCACCCATTGCTCACATGCTATATCCATTGTATTATCATCATTCATTGCCAGTATCTCCCATTACACCCCTTCTCTATCCGTTGTATTCTCAGCATTCACCACAAGAATCACCCATTACTCACATGTTCTATCCTTTGTATTCTCAGCATTCATCGCCAGAATCACCCATTACACACATTCTCTATCCATTGTATTCATTGCATTCGTCGACAGTATCACCCATTACTCACATGCATTATCATTTGTATTCACAACATTCATCGCCAGAATCACCCATCACTCACTTGCTCTATAATTTGTATCAACAATATTCATCGCGAGAATCACCCATTACACCCCTTCTCAGCCTTCGCCGCTAGAAACACCCATACCTCATAAGCCCCATCATTTGTATTCTCAGCTTCCCCCGCCTGAATCACCCATTACTCACATGATCTGTTTTTCGCATACTCAGAATTCTTCGCCTAAATCAGCCATTCTTACATGATATTACCATTGTATTCTCAGCGTTCGGCTTTATAATCACCCATTACTTATATGCTGTAAGATTTTTATACTCAGAATTCCTCGCCAGATTCACCCATTAGTCACATTAGACCAATGCTTAAATATTGACGCTAGTTTAAACCCCACGAATATTTGCCTATAGACTCAAATATAAGCCAACCAATTTCAACGAACAGACTGTAGTATAAATCAGGCCAATCATTATGTATAGTATCACGCATAAACCCGATGAATGTTTATCTATGGCCTTGAGTATAAACTCAACTAGAGTTTTGCTATAGACTGAAGTACTAAACCTGACCAAAGTTTACGCATGATCTTGAGTATAAACTTGACTAGTGTATTCCTGTAGACTCAAGTACTAAACCTGACCTATGTTTACCTATGGCCTCGAGTAGAAATTCGGTTTGTGTCTTCCTATAGACTCTAGTAATAAACTTGACTAATGTTTAACTGGTCAAGTGTATAAACTTGACTAGTGTCTTCCTATATACTCTAGTACCAAAACTGACCAAAGTTTACCCATGACTTGGAGTATAAACTCGATTAGTGTATTCCTATAGACCCAAGTACTAATCCGGACTAATGTTTACCTATGGCCTCGCATATAAACTCGACTAGTGTCTTCATATAGACCCTAGTATTGAACGATGTTTACCTATGGTCTCGAGTATAAACTCGACAAGTGTATTTACATAGAGTTAAGTACTAAACCTGACCATTGTTTACCTATGACCTCGAGTATAAATTCGACCAGTGTCTTCCTATAGACTCTAGTAATAAACTTGACCAATGTTTAACTATGATCTACAGTATAAACTCGTCTAGCGTCTTCTTATAGACTGAAGTACGAAACCTGACCAATGTTTACTTGAATAAAAGCGTAGTGGTTGATATGTAGTATAATCCCTCACTTCTTTAATCCATTCGTACATTACGAAGAGGTTTGAAAAAATGCTTCGTAATAAAAACGAACAACGTTCATTCTGATATTATAATGTTCTAGCAGAAATAATAGGATTGAACAGAAACTATAAAATGTTGAACAGGATAAAGTTTTTGTTATTTTATAAGAACCGGATAATTGCAAAATTACTTCAATATTGTAACTGGCCATCTTGTATCGGGTTGCGCGTCGACATGTTAGAGTGGGTCAATATCTGTACTGGAAAATCTGCAACATCCACGGGAAGGAAACTGCAAGAAACTGGTATGAAGATCACCCAGACCCGATTACAGAGATAGGATCTGTAATAATTTTATGGGATTTTACAATACGCACAGACAGAACAATTAAAGCTAATCACCCAGACATTGTGATCAAAGATCATAAAAACGGAACGTACATTTTGTATTGACATGGCAATCCCTGCAGATTGTAATTTATCTTTGAAGATGGTAAAAAAAAACTATCAAAATACAACGATTTTAAAATGGAAAATAAGGACATCAATAATTCCAGTTGTAGTTGGACCCCACGGATTGATTAGAAAAAGGTCCTTATAGACCCAGTGAGGGGATTCCTAGTTGTCCATGACTTGAAGAAATACAAGCAATTATACTTACAACTATAGCTCACACACTGAAAAGAGCTTCATCTATGTAAAATGTGTGTGATCTTAGGATTTTTTGTTGTTAACTTTTTACAAAAATAATCAGTGGAAAAAAGTATATCATCAAAATTTTATCGTTTATCCGGCTTCATCGCATCTCAAGCAGGCCTCGTACATCCGGGTTCATTGGATTACGCCATTTAAATGGATAAATAAAACTAGAAAAAAAAATTTAAAGAAAAAATTTTCTTTTGTTGAAAGGTTGTTGACAATTTTTGCTATTTTTGTAAACTCTTGACTGTTTTTAACCAAAACATCGATGAGTCAAGTATTAGATAAAAACAAAAAAGAAGCCGATCCCTAACAACACCAGGTTGGCGAAACAGAGCATGAATGAATTGCAATGTAGTTACTCCAGAATATTCAACGCTCGTACTATAAATGTCTTGTGAATGAACAGCCGGACATCTTCATAGTCTTTTTAATCTGCATGAATGAATTTGCTTATAATAATTATGAGTGAAAAAATAAATACGAAAGTCAAGCTAAATATAACAAGGTCTCCATTTCTTTCTTTCTTTTTTCCCCTATCTATCTATCTATCTATCTATCTATCTATCTATCTATCTATCTATCTATCTATCTATCATTCTTTCTTTCTTTCTTTCTTTCTTTCTTTCTTTCTTTCAAAGCCAAACTTTTTCTTTCTTTTTTCTTTCTTTCTTTCTTTCTTTCTTTCAAAGTCTGACTCATTCTTTCTTTTTTCTTTTCTTTCCTTCTTTCTTTCTTTCTTTCTTTCTTTCTTTCTTTCAAAGCCTGACTAATTCTATTTTTCATTTCTTTCTTTCTTTGAATGTCAGACTAATTCTTTCTTTCTTTCTTTCTTTCTTTCTTTCTTTCAAAGTCTGACTCATTCTTTCTTTTTTCTTTTCTTTCTTTCTTTCTTTCTTTCTTTCTTTCTTTCTTTCTTTCTTTCTTTCAAAGCCCGACTAATTCTATTTTTCTTTTCTTTCTTTCTTTGAATTTCTGTCTAATTCTTTCTTTCTTTCTTTCAAATTTATCTCATCGATAAAGTACACCAAAGTACACAATCCATTGTGATTTACACAGCAACTATAGCAGTTATATATATATATATATATATATATATATACGTAGAAATTGAAGTCAAAACCCAGTGACGACAGACTGTTTGATGCTTAAGCGCAATAGTCAGTCCATTTGCGTTGTCTTTTGGTTCGACTATTTATATTTACTCATCAGTGGTTCATTATGGATATACCTATATTCTAATGGTTACATAGGCGTGCGTTAATTGCTATGTTTCGAATTATTCTAGGGTCGATTGAGTAGAAACAATTGTGAACTCAAATGTATTTTTGTCGCTATGTCATAATTTTATTATTTATTGTTGGTTGTTATATACATATCCATAGACACACACACACACATATATATATATATATATATGTGTGTGTGTGTATGTATAATAAATAAAAAATTTCAATTAATTTTTTTAATACCTGCCTTGAAAATCAGCATTTAGAATTGTAATCTTTACTCTTGTTCGACCCTCGAACCTCATCTAACTCAGCTCTTAATCAAGTCTCATCGGTTCATAACAAGCCTCACTGGTAAATCACAGATCGGGCGCGCTTCTTTTAGCAGATAGAAAAGACAAGACATAGCAAAATGGTTCCTTTCTTTTCTTGCATCTGTACATCTTCGTCACTGTGTCTATGTTGCCATATGGTGCACATGCGAGAATAAGAGTGTTTTTTTCTTCTCACGTCTTCCCAAAAGTATTTCAATAAGTGGCCATCAAATCAATTCAAAACAGCTCTTAACAGAAGCCAATGACTTACTTCCGGCACAAACGCTCGACAAGTAGACACCGCAGCCTCGATGTGGATATTTATATTTGATAAATACTTACTCACTTCCGGTTCTGATTCGCTGGAAGCTGCCATTTATTTTATATATACCTTGTTGGAATCGCTGACAAGACAAGGTTTCGAAAGTTCGCTGAATATAGTAAAAGTTCACCGTTAAGATCCATAGCTATTTGCTGTCCTTTGAAGGTCAGTAGGCGAATTGCCATGTATCACCGGCCCACATCGTTGTCCAAAAGCAAAAAGTAAAAGCCCCGATTTCAAGAAGTCATTCAGACAAATATTAAATTTTGAAATTTTAAATCAAGCATCTTTTAGTATTAAGAAAAAATCATAATATAATTCAACCTGTTCTAATGTGTAACTGTCAGTCTTCTTCACCAAAGATCAGAGTGGAGTATCTGTGCGATTGTGGTTTTTCTGATTTATTCTACGTGTTTGTACGTAGTATCATTTATACAACTGGTCACACAATACAAGGACCAAGAGACACTACCTCACTATTTATATCAGCCTGCTCATATCTATCTATCTAGCTAGCTAGCTATCTTCATATCTATATCCATTAATCTCACTCTGTTCATATCTATCTATCTATCTATCTATCTATCTATCTATCTATCTATCTATCTATCTATCCCAGTCTGTACATATCTATATATTCATCAACCCCACTCTGTTCATATCTATCTATCCATCAATCTCACTTTGTTCATATCTATCTATCTATCTAGCTAGCTAGCTAGCTAGCTAGCTATCTTCATATCTCTATCCATTGATCTCACTCTGTTCATATCTATCTATCTATCTATCTATCTATCTATCTATCTATCTATCTATCTATCTATCTATGTCGGTTTGTTTACGTATCTGCGCGCATGTGTGTGGAATTTGTTTAGTATTTCATCATGTTCTAATTAGCTATTCTAGTAGCGTCAAAAACCGGTTGTCTTCATTGTCAACCATGGTAGGGGCCAGGTATTTTTTCCCTTTTAAATGCAGGACTTTTGTAGAAAAATCCTCGTACGGCGATTTATTACGATTGCCTAAACAACACAGAGGAAAAGCTTATGTGTAACCGTTAGGTTTCTTCACCAATCACCAGAGAGAGGAGTATCTGTGCGATTGTGTTTTTACTGGTTTATTCTACGTGTTTGTCCGCACTATTTTTATACAACTGTTCACACAATACAAAGACTATAGACATTCAAGCTATAGGATTCTTTTTGGAGTCTGTTCGACAGTGTAACAATTCAGAGGGAGGAAGCTGTGTAAGTGAAACTTCTTCCTTACAAATGGAATACAAAGGAAATGAAGGAAAGTCAACTCAGTGTACATGTTATGACGGGTCCGAGCTGTAACATTTTGGACTAGTACCGTCTTTCCCAATGTGTGTCGCACGCCTCACAGTGGGAGGATTTGATTTTAAGGGGGAGAATTCGAGAATGAGTTATTATCAGCAAATGTTTTCTAGTCAGTCTGTGTGAGTATGAGTATGATACATACGGTGCATATACAGTATGCCTGCATAAAAAATATTTATGTGTATGTATGTACAGGGTGTGGCAAAAGT